TATATATATATATATATATATATATATATATAAATAATATTTAAAATCTTGAAATAGGCAGAATGAAAGGAGTGCTATGGTATACAGTGGGTGGTCTAGCCTTGATACCAGACCCACAGCACACTAGGTTCAAAGTTATCCAGTGTGCAATGGATACCTTTGAGTCTACTGTTCTGTGGGTCTGGTATCCAGGCTATATGGTCCTGACCCGGGACATCAGTGGAGAAAAGGTTGTGAAAAACGTGATTTTAGATATAAACATGTCCAAATGTGACCTTCTGTTCTCGTCTTTCTTCAGGGACCTACAAGGCCTTGGGCAAATATACGGGTACGGTCAGTTTCATTTTACATGACACGTCATACGTTATTGAATATTCTACAGCAAAATCCTTTTCCTTTCACATTTCTCACGTTCTCCTACATTAGATCACGCATTTTTTTCTTTCAGCTGATTTATGAAACAGTCGTTGAGAGGTAAGGAGGATCCCGCTTCTGCTATGGATGACCCCTACCGACACCTCGCAAGAATGCAGAATGTTTCCGGCTTTCCTACAGGTGCTACGTGCAGGAGGGATTAGGAATGCTTTGATGTGTTTAGTTACTTCAAACATATGTGCAAATACAAATCGAAAGGATGGTGCTAATAACAATGGTGCTGCGAGTTTGGTGCTAGATAATTTGACATAAACAACGTTGTCACAAAATAAATAAAATTTATGAACGGTATAAAGATTCATCGAAACGCTGCTTTTATGATCAAATTTCCAACAATACCTTTTAGGTGTAAGCATGTTGTCCTCTAGTAAAGCACGTATATCTATAGCTAGGTGCTGATAAACTCGATCAACCATGCCGTAGCTAACTGCAAGTAGACTTTTGATTCCTTCATGAAACAACTGTCTCTTCCAGCGTTTTGGAGATTTGTCTACTAGTATTTGAATAACAGAGACCCATTTTTATATCTCACTGTAACAAGATAATAATTCGGACTTAAACGTATAATTATCAATTAAACATAACACTAAGCAATGATTTCAAAGGTGCTGAAACAAATGATCTTTGTTATGATAAGAATACTATTTATAACGAGAAATGTACACAAGAACGTTGATTGTAATCTTGTATATGAACTTGATGTGTGTATCAGCGCTACAACAGAGAAGGATGTATTTCTGTATGTCACATATTCATGTACATATGCACTAATGCACTGATGTAATCATATTCAATCGGTGTACAATCATTATGCCTTCACTTGCCGACTCGAGAATATATTTTCTGGAACAGACGATGTAATAACGTGCATGTTTGATTTATCACACGAGCTCACGTTCAAATAAACACTGAGAAAATTTCTATGATTAATGTGATGATTAATATTGTTCTTTCTTCTATGACAATATTAATTTGCGATTAATTGATTTGAGGGATTCATATACAGCATTAAAACCCAATCTGCAGTACCGGTACTGACCGTTGAGGGGAGATTGTACTGTAAGTAAATTATAAATACCCACATTGATTATGCAAATAAGATTCTCATTTGTATGAATTATGTCAGTTGATATTCTCCACACAATAATAACAGCCATCCACTCATGAACAGCCATCCTCAAGTTATGTTGTACACTTCCAAAAACACAGACACAAGCCGCTTCAACGACGTAGGGACACGAAGTTTCCTACTTGACCTTTGTTTCTACGACCGCTACCTACTAAATATCATTCTCAGCTTCTCAAATTATGCCGTACACACACAAACAACAAATGCAAGAAAAAGCCCGCTGCATGTGGGTATACATGTAGATCATTCAAATACTAGTACGTGCACGCGTGAACCGTCTTGTATCATTCGTTTGCCATTTATCTCCAGGTAGGAACGCCCTCTTTTGAATGTCGTAGGAACGACAAATAACAGATACGAGTCAAGGCAAGTTTTATTACATTCGCCAAGAAGGTCATGATGTCCGTAGCGTTTGTATGAATTTATGTGGTTTAGCACGATAACTCCAGTAGCTTTGGATGGATTGTCATTAAACTTGGTAGGTGGGTAGGTGTTGGTGAGACCTAGAAATTATTAGATTTCCTTGGTACTGCAACAGAACTTCCAGTTTTGATATCTCGTGAGCAAGACATGCTAGGGAATTTAGATGGTAGATAGCTCTTGTGCTAGGGAAGAAGTGACATTCTGGAACTGCATGGCAGTTTGTTAAAAAAAATGAGAGTGGACCGGCTAAACGGATTGTCATAATTTTCGTACGCAGGTACCTTAAGTGCTACTTGACATTAATTAGATGACGATTATGCAAATAAAAAAGCTAATTTGCATAATTAATGAGGAAATTCTATAAATCAGTGCTGTGTTCCATAATAGGACTATGGAACACTTTCGACATGTAATGTAGATAATGTGACATAGATAATGTCCATTAAGACCTAATTTGCGTAATTAATGGAAAATTGTTATAACCTCATAGTGGTAACTGTCGGAAATTTCATTGTTGCAGCATTTGAAAATTAAGTGAAGGTGAATATATCAATATATACTTTCGACACACATAAACAACCACATAGATTATAAAGCAATGACATCAGCGCAAAGCAATTAACCCATAACAGCATTCCATGGTATTACGTCGATATGTGCGAGTACAAGTAACTGGTGGGCTTTGAGGACAGGGGTCAGATACGTCTCTGAGACCTAGCTGGCAGTGGGCAAATTGTATGGTTATTTCAATTTACCACACAGAAAATGACGTTACGTTGGTGGTCTCAAGTGCCTGGCCACGGGGTAGGGCTTCTAGGCGCCCTGAGTGCAGAGTACTGGTCATGGGAACGTTGTAACTCTCCTGCCCCTGTCAGGCTGTAAGTCTGAAGTTGCCGAAACTCGTCCAAACACAGACCTATTTTCCCATTGACAGTGTCGGCAGATTCCATCAGATGGACCCGACCTCATACGTCATAGGTACTGGCGCAGAACAGGTGCGCCTTTCGCTCAGCCCCAGAGTACCCCCAAGGGCGCGAGCTCTCAGGCTCATTGCGTGAGAACTACGAATGGTGTAGGACACTGTAGCCATTATGTACTGGATGAAAAGGCCTCCCTCTGTTACGAGGCTCAGGAGTTCTGACTCGGAAGAATTTTGCACTATACAGACATATCACAGACACTGATTGACAGATTTATAGACTAACTGGAACAAAAGTTTAAACTTGCACCTATCCTACACTACAGATTACAACCTATTACACATATCACCATGTGTCCACCCAACTACATGTACTAACAAATTGGAAAAGAGCCAACGGTTTTACGCAGACAGAACCACTCGAGCGGCTCCTGTTACGTTGCGGTTAACAGTGACAGGTGTACACGGCGTGTCTACTGCGTTCTGCAGACGCAACAAACACCGCAGACATCTGTTTGGACAAGGCCGAAGCTCATTTCCACGCTAGAGTTGTGGTTAACCACAGGAATGCTCCTGGCGGGAAAAGGGCCTGTTTGCACTGACGAGTCAACGCCAACAGACCGGGGATAAAACCGCTGCCTTCTGAGTCAGAAACACAATACAAATGTTTACTGCTGGTGCCTGGCAGTTGTATGTAGTTCAGTCATGCTACTTTAGTTTGTGATATACCTTGCTTACGTTACAATGCGAGCATTTGTAAAGGAACTCATAACATTTACTTTACAACACCGGTTTGGTATTATTAGAACCATGCACGTTTCGTGCTAAGGCTTTCTTGCAGTCTGGTAAAATATCACAACTTTCTGGTAATTTTAATGATAGTCTTACTAGCATGAGTTTAGATTGCAGGAAACACTCTTCAGCATTTATTAACTCAAATTTACGAAACAACACCAAGAAGTATGTAAGTCATATACTAGGAGTTTTCAAAAAATAATTGCATAAGAGATTAATGCGTTTAAATTGTGTCATCCCCTAGAAACTGAGAAACAGACGTTAGGTACACGTGACGATTTACTTACAAAATTCGTCTGCGTGTTTAAATGATGATTGAACTGGAATCGACTGAAGCTAGCTATGATCTGTAACCGAGATAGTGAGGTCTACTGTCTACCAGGAGAAAATATCCCGAACAAAAGATCCACCAAGACGTCCTTTGGGTAAATGTGACGTCACAAAAAAGTACGTCACTCGTTCCCAGGGTATTAGATGTTGCCATGGTAACGCAGACGATGTTCCCTCGTGTCGCTGTCAGCTGGCTTGTCCTGCTAGGCCTCTCCCGACACTCTCGACAGAAATGTTTACATGTTTCTATTTTTGTTCATCCTTGGGAAGGATGTTGATGTCGACGCCCACGGCTGTGCTGAATTACGGACGATGACGCTTGTTCCCATGTGTGACTTATAAGTATCCATCTGATCAGCCGAGTCAAATACCAGTTCACTCGTTACCTTCGCCAAGAAGGTTATGTTTTCAGTAGCGTTTGTCTGTGTGTGGGTGTGTTTGTGTGTATGTGTGTGGTTTAGCAAGATAACTCGAGAAGCAGTGGATGGATTGGAATGAAACTTGGTAGGTGGGTAGGTCTTAATGAGACCTAGAAATGATTAGATTTTGGGCCCCCTGGCGGCTTTCCTTGGTACTGCAGCAGAACTTCCGGTTTTGATATCTCCTGATCTGGACATGCTAGGGTCACGAATTTTGGGTGGTAGAAAGCTCTTGGGCTAGGGAAGAAGTGACGTGAGTTTGGGCCCCCTAGCCGTTTGTTCTGGAACTGCAGGAGCATTTGTTGAAAAAAAATTGAAGGACGATAACTCAAGAACCGGTCGACGTATTGTCGTGATTTTTGGTATGTAGGTAGCTGAAGGAATGCTTGACATAATCAGATGGCAATTATGCAAATCGGGAGCTAATTTGCATAATTAATGAGGAAATTCTATAAATCTGCTTTGTTCGATAATAGAACTATGAAGCACTTGTGACATCTACTTGAGAACGAGAAAAACATCTGAAGATATAGATTATGTAAATGAGGACCTAATTTGCATAATTAATGGCAAATTCTTATAATTCCATAGTTGTAACTGCTGCACCCCAAATTTCATACTTGCCACATTTGGAAGTTAAGTGAAGGTGAACATCAATAAACATAATTTATTCAAATCATCACCTTATTTGCATAATTTATGAGGAAGTGCTATAATAGCCTTTTCTTATGATAAGGCTGTCATTGGATGGAGAATATGATCAACTGATATAATCCATGCAAATGAGGCTCTTATTTACAAAATCAATGATTAAAGTTGTATAATTCGTCACCCGCAAGGGTTAACATCATTTGGCGAAGGTATGAGATTGTGAAACTCTTGTCTTAACAAGTGAAGGACACGCATCGCGTCAGTCATTCTTCACTTCGCAAATATTGCATATTTTGATACCCTTCTACAGAGGAGTTCAATTTTAATTGAACTCCTCTGTACATGGTGTTAAACACACACCAATGCCTTACGTGAAGTACAAGGTTGCAACACAAATAAACGACCCGTTGCTCTGCGCAAGAACTGAAACAACTGAAACAATCGATTAACTCCAAACGTCCACAAGCGCAAATAAATTAACAAGCTTCATGAGAAACAGTATGTCACAGTTGGTGTCGGAGCAGGAAAACGTGAGAAAAACAGTCATGACGGAGTGCCACCGCCTACTTCTGCAGCCGGTCCCGCTAAATGTTTACAGTATAGATTTACAGGATTGGAGGGGACATGTGTTTCACGGTGGAAAAGCAAACCACTGGACAGGTCTTACAAATCACCGTCCTTGAAACAAATCACAACAGGTAGTATGATGAAAAGGACCACTAATACACAAATTGAACCTGGTGGCTTTTTTACTTCCTATCTGACTATTGGTTCTTGCGATAATTTCAAATGTACACAGCAGAGAGGCTTTCCTGTGGACCTTAGGGTAACGAACCCAGACAGGACTAATGTTTTCCCGTCTCCGGGCCATTCCCGCAGCACTGACGGCTCTGCCAAACGTATCAGATGTACTGGCGTGTGGCAGGGTTTACTACTGAAGTTTCCCCGAGAGGGGCCCGCCCACTTTTCTGCACGTAGGCCATGTTGACCTGACAAACTTCTCAGCCTTTCGTTTCAGGCAGGGCCGGTAGGATTAGATTCTGTGGCAAAGGTCGATCCGCCCTTTTCCTGAATTCCCAGAAAGCTCCTCCCGTCTATTATAAAGTCTATGAGCAGGAACATCTGAATTCATGAGTGCGGCCAAGACTAGTACTCGATCACCTGTGCTGAAGACGCCTATTGGCTACTTTCCCTCCAGACCCAGGACCCCGTGGGTCACGTGTTACAGTCGGGGGTCCATAACCGGTGGGGGAGTCGACAGGAGACGGACGTTCCCGCAAAGTCTCTAGCGAGCCCCTTAGGTGAACCTTAGTGATCCAGAGTGGCAGAGAACCAGGGCAGCCAACTAAATACCGCTAAAGTTACACAAGCTACAGCGAGTGTAGGTCAGCAGCATTCCAGCACCGCTCCTGCTCAAGGCTTTCCTCAAGCAAGTGTGAAGTTTCTCCTCCCGTCAAGATGCCATCGCAGTGCATGAAAATATTCCAGTTCACCGGAGTCGCCTCGTTTGTTGTGTTCTGTATGTTATACGGAGTGTACCAGTACCAGTATTACTACAACGGGAACTACTACTCTCCGTACAGCTCTTACGGCGGCTCCTCCGGGTCCTCCTCGGCCTCGTCCTACAGCCAACAGTACGCCCAGTACCTCGCTCGCTACTTCGGCTCCCAGTACACCTCCCAGTACGGCTCCTCTCCGTACGGCTCCTCATCGTACAGCTCCTCTCAGTACCGTGTCCAGCCCGGCTCCCAGCCCCAGTACGCCTACCAGCAGTACAGCACCGGCGGGAGAACACAGCGGACATCCAGCCGCAGGTCTCTACCCTACAGGGCAAGAACCGGCACGGGCCAGGGCAGGCGCTCCAATGCTCTCAGGAGATCCGGTACGTTCTTTTTCAGTTTCAACAATTTGTTGTTTTGTTCGTTTCTAATGATGGCACATGAGATAATACACATTTCTTGTAAGTTTTTTTTACACAACTGTTGTTGTTTCGGAAATCAATGTATACATTTCATGTACTGGTTCCTTCACACCACTGTGCGGCAATTCTCCGGAAGTCATCAACAGTTTCTGTACCCCTCCCTTCAGTGCTGATGAACAAACATTAGCTTGTCAGCACTGGGTACTGTAACCTACACATCAAGTTCAACACTGACGTTCCACCCGGCACGTAAAAATCCCGCTGTGTTTGCTTTGAAGGGAGCTGTTTATTCCGGACTAACTGCAGGAATGGGTGTGTTAACACCAGGGCTTTTGGACGTGACACTCAACTTAATGTGAGAAACAAAATACGCAGATAAACCTGTCAGCAGCGTTCACTGAATATATATTCCTCACGCTCAATCTGGTAGAGAATCAACAGAACATCTTCCTGTGGCCTCATGACCCTTTTCGTTCCTGAGAGACCGGGAACATTTGGTAGGAGTTTGCTCTGGCTCTATAGAAGTTCGGTGTTGTCTTTACTGATAACTACTTACCAGTGTACACTGTGCCGCTCTGTGTCTGTTCATGGCTGACTGGTGCTTAGAGTTAGCAATAACGTTCTTACCAATTTGTAGAAGAGGTTAGAGGCCAACATAAAACAACGCCCGTATTTGTGGTGAGTCTGAAGTGTGAATTGGTGCTTTGCTTTCGGTCTAAGACAGCCTCACGTGAGGTGAGTTTGCGGTACAGAAGAACCAATGCAGCCGATCTGTTTGAACATCAACAGTGAAACAAATTAGCTGCAATACTTAGATGTGCCCAGCTTGTCGTCAAACCTCACAGCCTGTGAAATACGATCAAAATTACACTCTCTGTTAAGTCGAACACGAAAAGATGTTGCTGCATTTATAATTGTACGAAAATTGGAATTGTTGATACTGCTGGTTCAAACGAGAGATGGGGGGATAGACTTCACAAAGTCCTGAAGCTAAGCAGGCAGTATTGGTAGTGCTAGATCCGATGTTTGTGAAGTATGGGTTGTTTACCAACAGGTTCAGTGATAGGTCAATGACTTCTATGTTTAGGCCTCAACCTATCTGATTAGACATACATGTTAATGAGTTAGCCCATTAGTTTGCACATCCACACTGTTTTTAGTACGTAGAAGACCAACATGGTCCATGCCTTACAGAGCTGAGTAGATCGTACAGACCAGTCTATGAGTTAATAGATATTTATGTTGCCGGCTGTCCCAGGTCTGCCCGACCTTGTCCCTGATGCCGCCCTGGTGGAGTCGACAGCCTACACGGAGAACGTGGCGCTGTACCGACTCCAGTGCGCCAAGTCGGAGAACTGTCTGTCCAGCTCTGCCTACGGCAGGGGCGCCACCCAGGACAGCACCCGCCGGCTGCTCCGCTTCTCACAGCGGACCTTCAACGAAGGAGACGCGGACTTCCTGCCCGACTCGGACCCGTCTCAGTGGGAATGGCACGCCTGCCACCAGTGAGTACCGATGTGTTATTGTGGTGACTCACAGTTCCGCACCACAGTCCGATAATCTGTGGCCTGATTTTGCTCCCTCCCAGCTGTTTCGGCATCCATACATGGAGCCGGAGAAGAAACAAACTTTTGTTTTCTGCTTTATATCATCATCAACATTCATGGTCACCATTAATATTTAACAAAACTTTTTTTTCATTAGCTAGGTAATTGAAGAACTGCAAGAATGTACAAGAAAATATAGATATGTATACGTATCAATAGTCGAAGCGTGTTATCCTTTGACTAGAACTTCTAGTGACGCGTACCCTGGGAATGGGTACCAATTGACCTGGATGATCAGGTGAGTATCAGGTGAATGAATCTTGACATATTTGATATCCATATCCAACAGTCATGACCGACAAACGACCTCTGATGTGGGGCTATTAGAAACAGTTAAATCTAACTTAGAGTCCAAGCTGCTTAAGTAACCTAACCATGTTTTACATGCCGCTTAAGCTGCCCCCCTCCCCACGTACTTGACCCCCCGAGGATCCCCGTGAGTGAGGTTCGCAGCTCGATCGAATCCATATGGCAATTGGGAAAACATTCCGTGTTGCCCGATGAAATATACCGGGAGGGCCCGTCCTTCACAATATACAGTTTACATGTACACCAGAGGGAGAAGGATTGGCCACCATAGAGTTCATTTGCCCTCTGCGGCACAAACGCTCCTATAGATATATACCTGTATATTTGCCAGGGCACTAACCGACCTATTTTAGCCAACACTAATAACAACCAGGTTTCTACACACATCTTGGCAATCTTTCGAGTCGAAAATTTCCAGGTTAGTGTCGTCCTTGCGTGCAGGTTCAACGGCCACTGTAGTGATTGGTATTAACCTTGACAGAACGTACCAGTTCCCATTAGGTGGTCCTCTGCACCTGGCAACTAACCCCAGCTCCTACGGCATTCTTTCTACCTGATATGTGGCGACAGTCGCCTTTAAAAATCCAATAGCCTGGAAGGCACTAGAAAGCCCAGCATGTCCATTGACTAAACTTTGAAAGCTGAAGAAAGAATGTCAACATTTGAATCGTCTGTTTTGAAGTATGCCCGGACTTTAAAAGACTCATTATATACTCCTTACGTACACGGTCATGGCTACTTGAGTTCCCCCATATTCAGTGTCCGCAGGCATCTCTGGAATGGCAAACTCAAGCCCCTCTCAACAACAGCGGGGAGAACGTGTGGATCTAGGAGGTTCTGGAAAGACGAGGATGATCGTGCAAGATCCACTGGCGATTCGACAAATGTCGGTAATCTTCACAGAAGTACAAGGCGCGAAACAGTAGGACCTAATGTTCACCTGGATTCTGTTCGATAAAATGAAGCTCTGTTGTCTGCTAACAAAGTTACTAAGTACCAGGACGGTGGGGAAAGGGTGAAATAGGGAAAACGGTTTAATTACAAGCAGAATTTACTAATGAATGACAAAAAGTAGTTTATGAATGGTATCTTGCTAATTCGACACCTTCCATGAATCCTTAAGTTCAATAACTTATTGTTAACCCGGGTGGACAAGGAAAAGCTGGTATACAGACTTGCAGACGACATCGGGTAGGATAATGACGCCGAGAGAGCTAGTTATCTTCTCAAGTTTGTCTCAGGAGGGTTTGACATTCACATCCAGTCAGTTACATCCCCCACACCCACCCAGCCCCGTATCTATGATACAATGTCTAGACAAATACTCTCAGTCCAGCCGACACGACTACTATCAGGCACATAAGCATGAAGTGTTTCAGACTCAGTGCATCATTCACAAAACATAGTGATGCAGACACAACAGTTTGCTGTCTAGAACCAAACACCGTTGACTCTGCACCCTTAACCTTAACTAAGAGCTGTAAGTACCGAATAACAGAGAGATCAGATCCTTGGTTGAACGTAGTGAAATTGAGTGGAGAAAGGCTTACATAACGTCTAGTCTAGTGCCATGGTTTCTATAACACCATTGCTAAGTATAGTGGTATATAACAACGGCCGGTGTTGTATAGCTTAGCCATGGCATTAGGCATTTAGATTCCAACGCACGACATTGTTTGCGCTAGGGGACAGGTGATAACTCACCGTGACGTTTTATACAGATCAAGCGCGTAACAAAAATACACACAGGTTACGGCTGTGTTTATAGTCCATTCATTGTGCGTTTGTCACCACAACACACGTGTGGCGGGAGGCAGAGGTGGGGTTCCCTTGTCGCCGCTCCTTACCATAGCTAAGAGCTATTACTTTCCTAATTAGCCAACATGTGTGACCACTTATGTTAGGTGAAACCTCGATGCCCCGAGCGAAGGGAGCCTTGATAGACGCCAGGACGGACGTCCGGTTTTATAACGACTGAAGCGCGCTTACTTTGATGACATATCAAACATGACGACTTACAAGCCAGGTGAAGGACTTGGTTTGTATAAGTTCAGCTTTTGGGCAGAGGAAAGTTATTGGAATCGATGATAACAACCACATTAAGTTTATCCGGTGGGTTTTATTGCCAGTATGACTGCTGATACGACAAGCACGTAAAAGTAGACATGAAGCAAAAGTTGCTTTCTCCCGGCCCGTTCCGCGTATCTCTGCAGGTAGGCTCTCAGTGCATTATATAAGGTAAGACAAGACGAGACCACGTTCCTAGACGACACCACAGTGACTCAGCAGTCGGATCTCGCCATGTTATCAGTAGGACTCGGTCCTTGGTTTTGTACAAATGGGTTTTACCGCACCTTGTTCTCAGCCCTTAACGTGTTAAGTAACAAAACTGACCCCAGGTCAGGTCAATCAGGTGTAGATTGCACTACATGAAAAAACGGCAGCCGCGGCTTGTTTGTTGTAGTCTATTAGCGAGGATGGGGAGAAACAATGAGGCTTTTCACGAGGCGTTTTGTGAACACTGGGGGTAACATAAACTGGTACCAACCCTCCCCTCACCCTGTCGCCACCTCACGCGTGAGGAAATGCACGTATGCCCGAGTCGAGACTGAAGTCCACTCTGCCGGTCTTACAGTAACAATGTTAGGCTGCCATGCTTATTATGTTTGGAGGTAGAACAAAGTAAAAAGTCATACTTATTTTGTTGCCACTTAATCGGAGGATGGAATGACGTCATATATTATACTTATTCTCGGAACATTGCATTCATCGCCTCATCATCGGATGCAATTTTCACAGACATCTGTTTATTAGCCATAGTTATGACGAAGATGGGATGTGCAAGAAAGCATGCATAAATCAATACGACGTCTCCTTCGTTCTCGTGGTTCTGTATTCTAAGACGCCCTTTTCGTCGACTGCATCACCATCAGAAAGTACATCTACATTCCACCCATGGCATCGAACGCAGGCCGAACCGCGAGGGGCCCAGCCACAAGCATCCGTCAGCAGCAGATTGCATTACCAGGGTGGTCTGTACAAATATAAACAATCACCACACACGGTCCATTGACCAAACACTACTTCTGAAGATGCGGGGAAATAGCCTTTACCCTGTGGTGATAGGTCTTCAAGGACAAATACGGCGGACTGACCTTGGTGCTGTGTTAAGTTTTAGAAAGGGCGGGGCGCCAGCTGACGCGCGACTAAAGACCTGCACGTTAGATAACAATAACGTCTGGACTGTGCTGACATCTTAATGTAGGGTCAACAGATCGGGTTTAAAGACTTAAAGCTTTAATCACTTAATCGGCCCGAGCGTCGTTTGATATCATTAACTCTAATGGGTTTGGAGCAAATAGCAGGATACCGCACAGTACGTGCTGACAGGCTGAATGGGCCGAGTCTAGATTTCGACTCAGTCACCACTCCAGGCTCTCTACATTATATTCGGACACAGCACGCAGCTGGGCTCAGATAAATTATTTAGATAGAATAAGATTTGGCTTTCATTAACAATCGTATACTCCAGATTTTAAATGCAGCATAGAGACGTCAGTGGTAACAATGGCACTAGATTTATGTAAAATGTCCAACTTTGATATAAGGGTTTTATGCATTTTGTATGTAATGTCTGTATACGATACGTTCTGCTGTATGTCTCGCATGTCTCATAAAGTATGTAAATTGTCGGACTGAAGTTTCTCCTTCACTTACTATCTCTTTCTCTTGCCCTCTTACAGCCCCTACATGTACCTCTTCGGTCACTGAAGAATCCTGGATCCCCCTCTTCACTGATACCCAGCCACCACCTCTACCTGCCTCTCTATCAACCCTCAGCTACGGGTCCGGCTGCACCTTCGGTCGTGCAACCTCTTAACGTCAAACTGTGTGTTGATTTTCAGACATCACCACAGCATGGAGACGTTCGCTCAGTACGACCTGTTAGAGGAGTCCAGTGGTCGGCAGGTGGCGGAGGGACACAAGGCCAGCTTCTGCCTGGAGGACACCGGCTGCCGCCGCACCTACCGCAAATATAACTGCGCGCTAGGACGCCAGGTGAATAGACTTTCTTGTAGTAAACCGGCTCTAATGTGTGGAGTTCTCAATTCGTCCACAGGCACCACCATAGCATGGAGGTATTCACGTACTACGACTTACTAGACGAGCGCACGGGGAAGAAGGAGGCTGAAGGGCACAAGGCGAGCTTCTGCCTAGAGGACACGGGGTGTACCTTCTGGACGGACAGGCAGTATCTGTGCAACACTGGTGTTCAGGTGATGTGTGGGGGTTAATCACTGCACTAACTGCATGTCTCTGTGTTGATGTCCCACCTCAGTCACCATCACAGCATGGAGGTTTTTGCGCACTACCAACTCCTTGATGTAATGGGCGCGAGAGCTGCAGAAGGGCACAAGGCCAGTTTCTGTTTGGAGGACACCCAGTGTAGCTTCAATTACCTCCGCAAGTACGACTGTGACCTCGGAACCCAGGTGAATCTAGGGCATGTAGCCGTCCATAGACAGCTGCAAGACGGTACAGCCCTAACGACGCTATCGGCAGGCCGAGCGCATGAGCGTACTATTGGGCCTAGCTAGTTCATACACCTAGTATGCATTTTGGTGACAGCTTAAACCCTCCCTCCACCATAGGTGGTTCAGGTCAGAAAAAAACTCACCAGATACCATCTTAGACCACAATAGATCCTTTTAAAGTCAGCAACCACGTATTGACAGGTGACGGTATTGCAGCGCTAATTCTTATGCTGACATGAGTGTTTATGAAAGAAAAGGGAGAAAAAGCCCCCAAAATTTCTGCGTATTTCGTAGCAGCCACAAAACTTTAGGTGTACAGCTGGTTGAAGACATATTCGAAACCATGGTTGGAGCAGCTTGAATGTCTGGTCGCTTCGATCCTCAGCAGAGCATGCGACTTCACCATTGCAACATCATCCAGCTTGTCTGCGTTTTCCCGTTATAATTCACGATTCGCAATATATTGTGCTAACCAAAATTAACCACCATTTTTAGCATGAGAACGCGCAGTTAGATTTGCTGGTCAACAAAATATTAACGTCACCTTTCATGTCATCAAATTACAGTGCACGCTGCTATCTTGTTTATTTCGTACGTCGTCTCTTGTGACTCACACGGCAACAGGTTGACCACGGTCCGCTGACTGACTATAGCTACATGGTCTTTTCCATCTCTAGGGCATCTCTGCGGGCTGTTGGGATACGTACAAGCACGACATCGACTGCCAGTGGCTGGACATCACTGATGTCAAACCGGGAAAGTACATCCTCGAGGTGCGTACATACCTGTAGTACTTGGCACTAAACCTGTGTTTTGTTGCTCTCTTCAAGGGTATATCTGTCGGCTGCTGGGACAGTTACGAACACAACATTGACTGCCAGTGGATTGACGTGACGGGTATCAAGGCCGGCAACTACATTCTGGAGGTTTGACGACTACTGTGTGCCCTGAAGTTTCTCTTCTCTAGATTTCAATCCCAGTCTTAGTCTTATTCAAACTCATTTCTTGTCTTTTTCTTCAAGAGCCGACCCAGCTTCTTCTAGATCTCGCCGTGTGCTCCTTGGACGCTGTGTTCCTGAATGTTTTGTTGTCCCGATTGACTTGTTTGCCCCTCTCTCTACCAGTTCCTCTGAGTACCGATGGTGTACAGAGCCCATCCCCTGCATCCAAATCTCTTCCCACCCATCTTGAGATATCCACTGCAACTCTTGTCGTCTATGGTTGTTACTTTCAACAAGTGCAGAATACATCTCTTAATTGTGTTTTACCTTTCCTTCTGATGGTACTCCACCATTCAATTCAAAGACCTGGTTGACTTTGTTGCTGTGTCTCTGTAATGGCCTGTTATGAGTCTATTCAAAAGGATGAAGATTGGTGTCATATAACACTGTATGAGGAGTCAACATTGTCATTTCTCCATCAAACGCTATCAGGACAAAACATGGCACAGACAAATGTACTTCGGGGAAAACAAATGTTCACTACACATACGTGAACATTCAAGAAATTCCTAGAATTCTTGCATATTGTTTACATATTATACTTTGAGGCAAGTCAAGACAAGTAGATATCCCTCAAAACAGACAATCTACAAATGACTGCGGCTCATCGAATGAGTCACTGGCAAGTACGCTGGACAAAGGCATACGTTACACCAGGACTTGATCATTCATTGCCTAATCTGTAGGTTGTGTCGCGTTGTGTTCTCATTTCTCTGTACAGATCTCAATAAACCCAGAACGCCGAGTCAGGGAGAGCAGCTTTGACAACAACCGGGTCAGGTGTAACGTCCGGCTATACAGGAACAGCGTGCAGGTCACCAACTGCATCAGGACGTAAGTTTGGGGTAGATCCAGAGTGCATCCAGTTTGGGGTAGATCCAGATTCCAGAATCTCTCTTTCACGACATTCAGAACATAATCAGATTGATCAAACATACAGTCACGTAATCTACTCACAGCGTGTAACCTACAGTCAAAAGCAAGTACGTGTCGCACGGTGACGTCTAACATTCGTCAAAGCTGTCACAAAGACCCCGGACGAACTTTTTCTATGATAAGAAGCAAATTATAATAGTGTTGAATAAAATACTAGCCTCTATTTTCTTCAAAGTGTCTAAAAATCTATCATTGTGCAGCATAATATTATTGTGAGAAGTCTGGTTTGAACATTGACTGATGTACATTGTACATAATCTTTGGTGGTCATGTTTCCTGTTTTCCCTTCACAGACACCTGAGAAGCAGCCGTGGGTAAACTGAAGCTCGTGCTCATTCAGCAGTCCTCAATTTCTAGACAGTCATTGACCACCTATCGTCTATACTCACACGTGTTGCCGTAAGCAGAATAGCTGGTGCTACACAACTTGGTGCTATGTTTGAACGGACATCTTATTCTTAGTAAAAAGGAGTCTATATGTTCCATAATTGAACCATTTTTCAATGTCTGGTCGGGACTGGGATAATGCACTTTTTGCGACTTTGATTCCAGAACAGTTTTAGCCACTATCACAACATCTCGCTGGAATACCCTCAGTCCGTGTTACATGTTACAATGGTCTATGAACTAGTGAGAAGTCAAGAATAATTATCGTGAGAATAAAATTGCCCCATGTTATGCCATGGAGGTTCTTGTCACATAACGTTACAGTTATAATGCAGACCTATTTCTACTGGATGTACATTTACGGTGAAGTTATTCTTAGGCTGTCGATGTTAGAGCTTTTTGGATTTCTTTGCTGCATGAATCGTGTACCTATATATATATATATATATAGTGGAACAGGTTGTTGTAGGTAACTGCCTCGCTTTTCACCATGACTTGTGTGTTGGTTGTTTCATCCTCTATATATAATCCATACTTTGTACTTTGTTGGTTGTACCTTGTTTGTATACTTATTCAGTGCTCCATTTTGTATACCCGGTAATCAGTATCATTATGCATGAGTACTTGGAAACAATGTACTGTATGATTTCAGGAATTAACATTTTAGCACTGCTTAACTACTAGTTAATTGTACCGAGTACATTTTTGTAGTAAATCAACTCAGAGATAGCATCAAGCCAGGGGTAAATGTTACACTTTTGTTGCCTGTGTGAAAACTGTTCAATAAAATTCATAGCAAACGTAAGGCTGCCAAGAGGGAGTCTTCTTTGCAATAGGGTTGTCTGAAGAGGATGTAAGTCTAGAGGACCAATGATAGACGTACACACGAACATTAGGTATAAACACTTCACAGAACCAAGACTTAGTAACAACCTTCCATCCCTCAATCTGCTTTGAAATTATCACTTATTGAAAAAAAAGAAGATATTTGCTCCTTTTTCTCCCCAACATCAGCAGAGCCTAGCCTCCTCACCAGGCTCAATGACTTGGACTTTTTTTGGCTTTTATGATGCTCTTTTGTCTTACAGCATATAACCTCTATTTGTACTCAGATTGTTTTGCCAGCCAAGTACAAACTTTATTTATTTGAACAAGATAATGCACTCAGGTCGTTTTGACCTGTTTTTCAGACAGGCCTGATATACATTAAACAACAATACATGTGATATGCAATAAAGGAAAAAAGCACAAGATAAAAGCCTAAAAAGCCATGATTGTACAGTGATAATGCCTGCTGAGGTAGCTAGGCAGCGACAAAGACCACACCATTTTTACTGACAATGACAATACATGATCCATTTTATTGCTTTTCATAGTAATTAAAATGTTCCAAGGGGAGTTAATCATTCTTACATCTTATACAGCTATATTACAAACCATTCAGTGAAAGGATCCTGCCCATACTCTCCTTACAAGTAGGATTTCCCCCATAAAAATAACAGCCATGCAAACAAAAGTGTTAAAAACTACCAACATTCTGGTGCTTCCCAACTGTAAAAAAAAAACAACAATCATATATAAAAACATAATTTTCGATCTCCAAAGAAACATCTAATGTATCTTCAAAAGGCCCTGCACTGTCACATTCGGTCAAGAACAACATTGGGCTTCTCAGTATAGCTGGATAATAGCCCCCATTCAAAGTCTGAATCCGTTTAAAAAGCACAAAGCATCTCACACAGGAGACAGTACAGAAACACAGTCATATCTGAAACAAAGTACAAGTATCTACAGTACAACTTACATACCCTTCAAAACATCACCACCATGTACTTCATACATTTGTATCTCTACCATTATCTATTATATAGTAATCTATCAATAATATTGAGTCCCCTCCTCTACAACCTACATAAGGTTAGAATTTACCATTACTGACAACTATGACACTTATGTTAGATTCCAGACAATATTGTTAAAAGTACACCATGTTATAACTAAAACCTAAGCCTACAATGTGATTCATCTTCATATTAAAATTTGTGCCTTCAGAAGAGTAGAAATTTCGATTTCAATTTTCAAGGACAATAGGCCCAGAGTCACACGGCAAATGTCTTCTGACCATATTTGTATACAACAATAAATAAAATTGCTCTGTTATTACATTTAGCCAGTATCAGCATTGTTATTTACATGTTTCCAAATCATAAAAGGAAAACAACAAATACAAATGGAGAATTACCAAATCAATGGACCCTTTCATACTAAGACAATCCTTCATCAAAATACTTGCCGAGAACAAATTTATCTATACCTAACATGTCTATGATTTATCTAGTTGGTGGAGAAATATAAAATTACAAAAGCTTTTTGTCAAATTCTATACCATGTCTCTGGCTCTAATGCTCAGCGACAGAAGACAGAAAATACTTGAGAAAGCTTTGTAAGCAAGGGATAATTTGGGGAAGGGAAGTGAAGTAAGAACAAAATATTGTTCACCCATCACTAGTATTTGGGAAAATCAAGAAGTGTGGTATACAAAACAAATAGAGGCCTACAATGTGGTTACTGGATTAGTCACAACACAATCTATCATATCCACCTCTGGGCATTAAAAATGTTATACAACCAATGTCAAACACTGTTTCCAAGTGTGCCCTGCCCCTGTATCTACGGGAAAATATAATCTCAGTTCCTATTGGTTCTCAGAAATGAAAGATGCTTCTTGAATCAAATACAATCATGCCAATCAGAGCTGTTGATACAAACTGTGCTAGCTAGAAGACCTGTGAAAGACAGATGGAAACTGTGTTGCCATTATTTTCAGAAATGAAGGAAAACCTTTTGGAGCTGAGATCATAGCAATCCATGCATTGACAGACACATACATGTACAGTGTACTCTTAGAACACTACATTGTAAAAATACTACATGTGGTCAGTATCATCATACCTAAGACTCTTGTCATTAGACTACTCCTTAGACATATCAACTTTGATGTTATCTATACATTTATCTCATTTACATGTAGATTCCATGGCACGGATTTACAGGTGTTAAGGTTCAACAGACATCTTCTAAATGAATCCTGTTTCAATAAACAAGTGGCAGGCTAAGCATATACAATGTCATGTAGTTGAGGGGATCTGCAAGACATTATAATTATCAAATTTGATGTTACCTTAAGGGAGATTTAGCAATTTCGTGATGCAAAACATTTTGTCAGTTGCCAAGGATACTTCAAAATTGACATGAATAAAGTAGACACATGTAGTAACACTGTAATTTAAAAACTTTTTTTAGAATCTTTCTTTTAGTAAATGTCCTTCTTAGTAATTTGTCCTTTCAGTAATAGATAATCTAAGTTTCTTCAATCATGTATATCTAATTTTTATTTCATACAATAATTGTTAATGTTTCCAATAAACTGTCAGTTTTGATTTAGAAATCCTTTTGAAACAGGCATATTTACACATATACATCATCATTGAGAATTCAGGTTCCTTTTTGTCCTTGTGTAAATGTGGGATGCTTGAATATTGTCCATTGGATTTACTTTCTTGACTCCTGATGCAATGTTAGAAGTCACAACAATAGTCCCAACTAACTCCCAAGGTTTTTCTCTCTACCTACATGTACACAACCACAATTCATTTTCTTCTTTCAGATGTGCCAATTTGTTTATAATACAGTGATCAAAATGCATGGCAAACATGAACATGGCAGCTTTCAAGCAGCTTAACACACAACAATGTGTCAAGAGAATAGAAGGACCAGGGTATATACATGTACAGTAGAAGTATACAAGCACATGTATCAACATTGACATTTCCACTGCTGTGGGCCAGTAACATTCACTAAATTTAGATTTGATCAGCAAGGAAGTTAAAGAAGTTCATGAAATACCTACATGTAGATCATTGTGCCAACATGACAAATAACTATGGCACAATGTTGTGGGTACAATTGTTCCATCACAGTCAATGTGTTTCATCTGATTCCATTATTTGAAAAATAGTCTTTCCAAATATCAAAGGGACAGTTAGTGAGTTATGTTATGAGTAGTCAATTTAACTATATTTATCCTTTGGATATGGCCTCTGTTTCAATAATTTTTAGACTGTGTGCAATTCCTTCAAATGTTACATTATTATCACTAGTTTTCCTATGAATTTGTTTATCATCTATTACCATTTAAAGTTGTTTTTCCCCAAAACATTGAATTCTTTTCACACAGTTCTTACAGACTCTTCCACAGGAAGGTTTCTCCTAACATCAGTCATGTCTAGGGAGGAAAAGTTCTCTGTTACACTTTTACCATGATTCAGATACTAGTAACAAAAGTTTTTTTGTCAGGACATTACATAAAATGTCATTTCTGCTTGACTGGATGGAAAGCAATGTTATAAAGTTATAAACAATGCTAGTAACTGTGAAATCCATTAATTCATACTCCAAACTGTCCTTCTGTATGTAGGCAGAGTTACAGTACACAATACAATATACACAACAACTGTTTAGTATGTACAACCTGTCATGGATGTTACCATTTGGTGCTGGCCCACAGCTGTGGTGCCAACAAGATATAGATTTGCTCCAGTCTTGAGTATTGGGGATGCCTGCCTGATGATTATCATACATATAGCTGACTGTGACAGCTATAACTGCTCAAGCTATGTCTGAAATACTGGTACTACAGGTAGCTTTGCAGTACTTTCTTTCAAGGGGGGTGGGGGGTGGTTCTGCCTATACACCAAGACAAAGTGAGCCTGGAAGACTTCATCCTCTATGTCTCCTGTCTGTACGGATAGCACCACGGTACATCATGCCCGTTGTCGGACTGGGCTGCCTGTCTTGTTTGTCTACTGCTGTTGTTGTCCTGATGGGTGTCGGGAGGGTTTTTTGGGTAGAGGTGGAGTTTGGGAAGGGTCTCCGCCAGACTCCTTTATGGGGAGAGGTGGCACTGGCTGTGGAGACAAAATTAATCGACACTCAGATGATGTGAATTTTAAACCAGCGTAAAAATTACAGTTACAGTTAACATCCTGGAATGAAATCAAAAACTCTTTCCTGGGAAATTTCAAGTAGACCACAGACAACAGAACAAGCATGTATGTGTACATACATGTACACCTGTATATCATTTTGCTTCAATGGATAATCTGTTGATTACCGCTATTAGTCCCTACCTTGCTCTTGCTCTTGGGGAGAGAAGAAATCCTCATGGGAGCCGGTAAAGCAGGCTCATCCTCATCCTCTGCAATGTTTCCATAGTCAGCGTAAGCCTTCTTCTCTGGCAGTGGGGGCGGCACATCACTGGACGATGAACCTGACAGGGAAAAGAGTCAGTTTGTAAGACAGGGGGACTATTTTAGACAGTTCACACTGGAGCCAATAATAGAGGTTGTTTCCTGTTATAACAGTTTCTGTCCTGTTATAGCTGGTCCAGATCCAAGGCAGCGGGTGTGTGTTCACCACACTAATATTAGTGCTTTGCTGTAGGTAGATGATGGGGTAGATGGCATGGAATAGGCTAGGCCAGTGGACACCAGATCAAAAGGTCACACATTCGATTACTTGTATTCCTGGCTTGATGTTGTGTTCTTGGGTAAGGCACTTTATGTGGCTCTCCTAACTTCACCCCGGGGCAAAATTTGTATAGAACTTTGGTTGAGGAGGTAAAGGGCAGTGGAAGGAGAGGGATGAGCTCTGCCTTCCAATACCAAGCCCTAGATAGAGTGCCCATATGCCCCAAAAGGGCTATAGGACCTTTACATGTACCTGTAAGTGAAATCGTGTTTCGGTCTGTTCCAGTACTACTAGTGAAGGTGACTCTTGATGGCAACAATCTGGGGTTCAAGTTCAAGGTTCCCTGGCATCTGTGTATTTGTCTCCACCACCTTCAACAACATTTACTTTGTCTTTGTTGCTCCTGGCTCAAACTTGAAATAGTTGGAATTCAGCAGCTTTGATGTAATTGATGAGGGTAAAATGGGCCAAAGATTTGGAGCTCTACAAAAGGACATGTGTGCATTCATCAAATACCTGAACTTCAGAAGATGATGAAACTTAGGGAGACTAATATAATTGTACTATGTTGATTTTGGACTATACTTCCTCTCAGTTTGTGGTTATTCTGTAATGTTAATGAGGATACTATAGATCAATGGATGTCATTAAAGAAGCGACAGACAAAAGGCAATGGAAAACAATGACGGCTTGTCTGAGTAATGAAATCAAAGAAAAAAACCCACAGATTATTGATACTCATCCTCCAAGATGTAAACAATCAAACTTCCATGCTGCATTTTGAGGTCTGATTCTGAAATGAATCTTGCACCAAACAAAAAATTATCCCACTACTTTCTTCTCACTTCCCGGGTGTTTTTACCTAGAGGTACATTTAACCAAACAGATGACTTACTTGTTGAAGAGACACTTGCAGCAGGACTTGCAGACCGGTTCACATCCCGATTCACCTTTGGAGGGGGGGTGGCTGGCCCTGGCACACCGTTCTGCTTGGTAAGAGAAATCCGTGGCTGACTGACAGGTCTCATCGGACGGGCTGCCTTCAACTGGAGAGGAGAGAATATGAACAGGTTTTGGGTTGATGTACAGTAACTGATGTAGTCAAGCAACCAACCCTTAACTCATTCAGGTACCTGAGTGTATTCTATATTCATTGTACCAGTCTAGGTTTTATTGGATATTAACCCTTGTCCTGCTGGCATTCCTGGCACAATATTTTTCAATAATTTCATGTCTTAATTAGATCATAGACCCCCAATTTTTTTTGCCCTGCAGTGGCATAGTTACTTCCGCATTCGTTGCATTTCGCTGCGGTGTGAAGCGTTGCATGAGAAATACCCCCAAATTGTACCTATACAGGTTGCTATATAGATGGTACTGTATGTGCCAAGCGACATATGTTGCGCACAGCAGGACATTAGGCAACTGTGGTTAAAAATATCTTTGAATACCAACATTTTGTGATCCATATGGTATCAGATACATGTGCATTGTACATTTGCTGCATACTCACACCCTAACTTCAAGATTATCAGATTTGAACAGGTGAGTTCTACCCCATTGCTGTAGAATGGCACAAATTGAATTTGGGTCTCTAAATCAATTTTGTATGGTCAGTGCGTAAGAAAATTAGAATAATTATTTTTCTGTGAGCACTGAAATGCACAACTTTTCTGTTGTGCATTTCAGTGCACCCCAGACTTCTCCATAACTTAGGATTTAGCACTGGACTTCTCCAATTACATATCTTACTTGTGTGAACCATGACTTTGTTCCATTTCCAGCTGCCATCCTGACTCACTAAGAGTTCCTATCTGTGCCTATCTGGGTGGTCTGTACCTCACAGGAGTGTCCCACCCTCCCACAGACAGCACAGGTGGGTACAGTCAGACAAGTACATGGCAGAACCACACGACTCCCTGGCCTTGTGTACCAAACACTTTCCAATCTCTCACCTTTGGACCACTGTTACAGTAGTTCCTTGCCCTTGCCTCGCCCTCTAGTCTGCTTATTTTTTCACACAGCTCAAAAACATAACCTTTGTTCGAGCCACACAAAAAGAATCACTCCAGGGGATATACACAACTTGTTCTGAGGGCTGGCCTGTGCTAACTCACAGCAGCATTTTCTGAGGGCAGATGATGGAAATGGTCAGTCCATCTTTCCATTTTTGTGTTTTAGGTTGGACAGTGAAAAAATTTTCAAGTTTAATTCCAGAAACTAGACATTGAAATTGGAATCTGATTGTAAGAACCTTTGTTTTAAATTCACGATTTTTTCGTGGTACTTATCATTACCGTGAACAAATAATTTTCTGACTTTCTTTTTCCTGCACCTGCCGCAGCCGTGAACATATACATTGTAGTTCCGCGAACATGTCCATTTTTCTCAGACTTTTGCTACCATCAACAATCATACAGTTGTAATTACAGTATTAGGTACTTATAATTGTGAAAATCAACAAAATTCTTCAATTTGCTGTATAAATACAGGAATACATGTAAATACAGCAAATTGATCAAAGTGAAGATGTACATGTATTTAATCTGAAGCAAGCACATAAAAAATGAACAACTCTAAAGTGCCTTCTCTCAGTTTTGCTCCCTAGGTAAAAGCAATGGCTAATCTTCAGGTTATAGTTAGGCAACTACTAGTATTCTTTCAGCAACCTTAGGGTTTAAAAATCTGGGAGCTAGTGAATCAACTACTGTGAACTTTGTGATATTCTTCAATCATTTTCTTCCTGCCTATAAATGGTATCAAAAACTTCTACTTGAAAGGGCAATTTCCCAAATGACACCCACATGCATTCATAGCAGCTACATGTTCATGTAGTTAAGTCACAAAAGGGAAAGAATCCCGGAGTGTTTTGAGGTAAACACCCGCCTCCTTTATTGTCCTGACAGAACAAATTTGTCTTCATTAGTGTAGTTTTACTAATACTGATTTCAAACTTCAGGGACCAGGTCAAAAATGTAAGATCATGCCTACCACCTGAGTCACCTGAAGCAGACATACAGATACTGGTGCATTCTTCAATGTGCTTTGGCAACACTGTGTGGTGAAGCAATGCTGGTGGAATGTACACCGTTTGGATACCATGAGAGGGCAGACATGCATGATGCAAGATTACAGGGGAGGTTGTGTGAGAGAGAGAAGAACAAAGATTGGCACAAGAAGGCAGAATGATAAAAGTGTACCATGATACAGTTTGTAAAAAAAACATAAGGAAAACGTATCTGGAAAACCAACCATGAATTTAGGAACCAAATTTGACTTGGACTTTTTTTTATGATAGAACTCTTAGAAGTGTTAGAGCCTTTACCTTTTTCGTTGAAGAGATTCATCAGTCACGTATAGTACAAGTTCAGTAAGATAATTCTTTCAATCAGTGACTATTAAATCCTAAGGTGACCAAGACGAACTGACTAGTCGTCGAAAATTCGGAGGTATGTACCTTAGGATTTAATAGTCACTGATTGAAAGAATTATCTTACTGAACTTTACCTTTTTATTTTGTATGCTATTCTTTCTACTGACCCTCTGTATACAAGTAAAAAATGTAGCGAATTTGTATTGTGGTGTCATTAATCATAGTTCTAAATGGTGATTGACTAGCTAAGTGCTTAGACCACATTTTGTATATGCTGTAATGGTCTGCATCATTATGCTAAGACTTGCAATACAATTGTATGGCTGTTATTCTTGGGCTACAATGGCCAGAACAGGCGGTTTCCTGTCCTTGGTCGAAGAAAAGCTGGAGAAAAGTGACGCCTTTGACACTGAGACGACCTGTAAATATTTCTGGTGAAGCGGCGGGGGAATGGAGCTGTTTACATGATGGATAGGATGTTAAAGCCATGCGACCTGACAGGGCAAAGGTCAGCAGGAGCCAGGCAGGTGTGAGGATGAGGGGACAAAAGGTGGTCCCAGCAAGGTGGGGGCAACAACATACCTGCTGTGAATAGCAGCTACTTTAGATTAAAGGAAACATCCCACAAGTTGTCTACACACAGGAGGGCACTCTAATCCTCAGAGGGGCTTCTCAACCCTCTTGACTTTCCCACACCTGTCTATAGGCAGGTGTTGTCAGTCAAGCAAAGGCAAAGTTAACACAATATCTGCTAATTATGTCAATCATACAGGTCCATGTGAAGGTAGAGGGCATGGGAAAGTCCTCCGTTAGTTGGACCAGGTTGTACTTCGGGCAAGTTTGCAAAAGCCTGTTGTCATTTTCTAGCAGTTTTAGAGACAGCCAAATGACAATGATTGCTTTTTTTAACACTTAACTTTAAAAGGGAGTCAGATTTACTTTAATTGTTAAGCTTTGTGTGACTAAGTTCACGAGTGTGTTCTCCAAAGCAATGGGACATGAGGACTACAGGACCAAACTTCAGTTTCAGGCTGGAGGGAGTTGGAAGCACTTGCCTTTCAGCCGGCCTTTCAAAGGCTTTAATTCAACAGTCATTACGTTAAGACAAGGAAATTGGATATTTGACAGAGTATTCGCCTTAATGTATTTCTTCATCATATCATATTCAACAAGTGTCTTTGTACAGACAGGACCCAGCACCATTCACTATTTTTAGCAGTTAACCAGATACATTGTACAAGGCATAAGTACCTGACACTTCCTTCCCTGTGCCACCTCTTCCGATGTACCTGTCTCCCATCACTTAACACAAGCCTATTTGATGGTCTCATCCCTATGATCCTGACAACACCCAGGGCACCAACACTTCCCCACTATTGTGGCTACTGTGTTCTGCCCTTCTCTTTGATCAGCCAAGTATGATGACATGACATAGACCACACTGTGTAAACCCACTTTGTACAGGAAATACAGACTAAAGATAGAACGCATTATAACAAACTACATGTTGCTAACTGGTCAACGGTTTTGTAGAACAGTGTTTGACATGGCATTCTAATGTGTGAGCTCTGGATAAAAGTTAAACATTCCTTAGCTTGAAAGTTCATCTAAAACATACCTTGATGTAATTGAAGACCAAAATACGGCTGCACATACTGTCCTTGCACATTTTCTCACATTTTCCCAGATTCCTTCAGATTTTTATTTTTCTTACCCAGTAGTATTTTTGTTCCCACATTCATCCCGACAAATTTTCCTTGTGAATCCCAGGTAAAAGAGAGGATACAATGTACATTTGTAGGTTGTCTACAGGAATGCACTTCCTAAGGTGAGACCTTTCCACTTTAATATATCCAAAATACACTGATTGATTGTAATCCTATCCAGCTCCTGGTAAATAATGCACAGCAAAATGTGACTGCAAAATACAGCAAAATATGTGCAAAATATACATGTAACTGTTGTGTGTTTGTTGGGAAGCAGAATGCAGTTTCCCTTTGATTTACAGACACTCTTGTTCCTTTATATGGGTGGTGCCTGAAGTGAGGGTGGTCTCACAAGTGTACATCTACAGGTGACTGATAACTACAATGTCCCACCTGTTCTTAAGAATGGATTGTCATACCATCACATTGTACATGTAGTAGTACAGATAACAGGGATGTACATGTAGTAGTAGAGACAACAGGCCCTGAACAGGGATGAACATGTAGTAGTACAAACAAAAGGGATGTACATGTAGTAGTACAAACAAAAGGGATGTACATGTAGTAATACAAACAACAAGGATGTACATGTAGTAGTACAAACAACAGGGATGTAAATGTAGTAGTACAGACAACAGGGATGTACATGTAGACAGCGTACAGACAGAAGTAAGCGTACCGTCTGGTTCAGTTCCACCACAGGTCCGTCTGCTGCAGCGTTAGCTTCTCGGGTTTTGCTGACCCAGTTCTTGACTGGGGAGCTCTTGCCTTGTTGTTGGCCGGAGTGCCGGACCGACTTCTCGTACTTGGGGGGCAGCTGAGGAGGACTGGAAGAAGAACAAGAAAAAAGAAATTGATGTTAGAATTTTAGGATTATAGACTATAGGGTTCAAGAGGAATGTACAATGTCATGTACATGTATGTTCCAGAAAGAATGTCAAATAACACAAATAAAAGAAAGGATGTACAATTTGATCATTTTCTTTGACAGATGCAACTGGGCAGATTTACAAGACTTTCTTTTGCTGATGACATGGTTGAGGCATTTTGCTGAAAATGGCATGATTTTTTTACACTCGTTGATATGAACACAAATGGGTCTGAAATCATATCAGGACAGTAAAAACTGTTCCCTAACCCTAAGCCTGTCTCTGGAGTGGAAGGCCTGTCCCTGGAGTTGATGGGTCCATCAGAAGAGGTGGATGAGGTAGAGATAGTGGAGACTGGTCGGTCCACAGGCTTGTTCCTCGTGATCCACACCAGCGACATCGGTCTGGTTCGCGTTGTCTCGTCCATCGGAGGCTTTTTCCCATACTCAGATTCAACACGGGTCTATAGCAGAGGAATACAATATCATCATGTGATATCTAGGATAGAGTTTTTGGCCCAAGACATTCTGAAATATTTCTAGATGGCACTGCAATACAACAGTCGTGCACAAGTAGCAATTATGGAATGGCAACATGTGTCATAAGTTGTCGTGTGATTTTGATGTCTTTGACTTTTCAAGCAGGCTGTGATAAAGCAAACTGCTGAATGATGTACATGTATGACAGTCAGCCTTTTCCATATTATCAAGACAGCTGAATTTTTGTACGAAACACATGACTATACCAAGACTTTCTACTATTTGTGACTGTACAGCCTGTAATGATGATCATACAATGATAGTATGATAGTAACCAGAATGAGAAGAAACAGGAGCTAACCTTCATGTCCACAAAGAGAGAGTCCATTTTCTCCTGTAGTTTCCTGAGAGAGTCGGGTGCTTTCTGTGCGTGGACCTTCAGCCCTGCCTCCAGGAGGGGGATCTGACAGGCGATCAGGTCCTTCAGTCTCTCAATTCTGGCATGGTCTTCAGGGTGGCTGGCCATGTACTCTTCTGTGAAGAATGCCTGAGGAATAGAGGAAAATGTTATGGTATAGGATGATACATCACATGACACAACAAACATCTACATCAGGGCCCATCACTTACCATGATGGAGGCCAACATCGTTTACCAGATATCTTGGACCCAATGTTGACGTCACACTTCAGAGAAGCCATGTGACAAGTCTCACTGGATGACAAGTCTATTGAAGAAAACTAGTAAGAGTGGCTGGTTGAAAGCTCTTGATGAGAACAATTCCTTGTGTTAGATGAAAAGTTTTAACTACCAACACAGATGAACTTTCATGACAGTATAAACAACTACATGTACATTGTGCATCTATTTGAATCTTTCATTGACTATCTATCTATTCAGTGACAGTGAAATACTGAGAAGAATCTTCATTGAGGAAGGGCCCACAAGGGGTAGATTGGCATTACTAAATGTATTGGGAAAATTTTTTTGGTAGTCCAATTCACAATTCAAGACAATGCTAGTTTCTGACAGACATTTTAGGCTGAAAACAGAATATCATAAAATCAGAATCGTACCTTCTCATACTTAGCTGTGCCACCCATGACAGCAGCATCAATGATGCCGTTGAGTCTAAGGCTGAGTGTGTTGACTGTGAGTGTGGGGTCTGCCCGCTGCTGCTCGATAAGATGTCTCAGCTCCGTGTTGGCGTTCTCTATGATCTCACAGGCGTTTTCCAGTGGGCTCACTTCAAACTGTCCGAAAAATAAGGAAACATTTAAAACTCTGCGGAATTGTTCTTGTGCCATCTTACATTTCCTGCCCAGTAACAGTCATCAAATTTTCATTGAACACCCAAAGGTACTAAGTGCATTCTACTGCATAAATATCATCCATGTAGCTACATGTGATCTACCAACTTACAGTGTTTGTAGAGGTGACTTCGAACCATCTGAGGATACCAGGAAGTTTGTAGGCTGTCACATAGTTAGTTCTTTCTAGAAACATGTTCTGTAAGAATAAAAAGAAATTAATCATTGTTCAAGAACACTGTCATTGTTGGACATACATTGTGTAATCTCTTACTATTGGCTGTCTTCTTCCACCAGTCAAATGGGCAAGACAAGCCATAGATGGCTTTTCTATCAGCAATTCACAACTATCACAATCATGTACTTCTAATTGAAATTGGCAATTATATGTTTCCTTTTCTTTGAAGTAGAGTGATGTTTAACACAACTAGGCATAAAGAGGCCTCCTATTCATTATATCTTTGCAGATGTGGGGAATTTCTACACCTCAAAAACAGCTGCAGAACACAGTCCCTGTGATATTAATTTACATGTATTTCTCCCCTAAGTTTGTTGACACCTACATGTAGGCAACCCATTACTTGCATTTGTGGTCTGATTCAGAGCACAGGTCTACTTGGAAAGCATCCTTTCCTGGTCTGAGAAGAAATCACAACATCCATTCCTGCTAAACAATGAACTTGTGCACCTTGTGTGCCAGGTGTGGTGCTGCAGCTAAAACAACAGTAATGCTGACCCACCCCGCCCTCCCAACGGAAGTGTTTGTGGATCCAGTTTCACCCACATTCTGGAGCTGGTCACCCTTTTGAATTAGGAAGGAATGCCCCTGACCTTAATATAATTGAGAAACATCTTTCTACAGGGGCATAACAAAACACAGAGACTACACTTATCAGGAGGGTTTCCTTTACAGTCTGTTCTGATCGGAATCCAGATCTAACTCACTCCAGGCTGTCTGTTAACTTCAATTTCAACTGATACACAGTGTCTGCCTCAACATTCTACAGCTGCCGCAGTGATTTGTAACGATAGCAACCAAACACAAACACTCTTATCACAGGTGCACATGATATTGATATATAGTAGATATTAGCAAAGATGACAGCATTCTCTAAATACACAGCAATGTTAGTTTTACATGTACTTCACATAAATCTCCCCACCCCCTAAGTTACATTTGTGACAAGTGTCAGATCAGTGTACAATGGAAATACAATTGTAAAAATTCCCCCTTCTGTGGCAGCTTGGCCCTGGTATTCAGCCTGTAGGTGGACAGTTCTGACACCTTCACTTCCAGATCAGTGGTAGACTTCCCCTGGATGCAGTATCTATGTGTGGCTCTCATTATCCCTGACTAACCCACCTTAAATGCATGTGCCTGATTGTGATAAATAACATGGAAGAAAAACTAATAAAGTCTATGCATTGAAAGTACAAAAGCTGGCCAGAGTACTATCTGAAGTCCAACCCAGATCTTCTCACCGCAAATTCGTTGTCACTGTCTCGATCGCCCTTTCTGATTGGCCTGGAGAAGGTGAACTTCTGAACCTCGTTGACCTTGTAGAAGCTAGATCAAACACAGATGGGAGGGTTGAAGCATGAGAGTCTGTATGTAGGTATACATCAGGGTAACACCTTATAAAAATTACATGTTCTCATGTTACATGTATCTACCAGTGTTGGTTTGTTTTTAACTGTTTTCTTTCTGAACACAGAAAACAAAACTTATAACCACTGCCATTAACTTCCTGGTACATGTACAAAAGTATTGTTTTGGGTGTCTGAGCTGTTGGTTTGTGTATCTGTTTGCCTTGACAGTGTGACAGGAGGTTGAAAGTACATCATGTACATGTAGGTGGAGGGAAGATTGACAGGCAGAATAACAAGAGGTCAAAAGGTTAGACTCAAGTAATGGGGTGAAAGTGCAGGTCTTAGAATGTGGCACCAGTGGGATTTAGAGGTGGACTTGGGGGAATTCAGGAAGCTAAGGACTGCATACTTCCAGGAAGTCTGAAACCTACAATTTCTTGTTAACATGATCAGTGTTTGGAAGACGACTAAGGAAATACCTCTTAAAGACTGCTGCATAAACAAGATGTTAAATCCATTCATGATAAGAAGAATGGCCATGAAAACATATTTTAAGACACATCTTAAACATACAACAGGCCAACACTACAATGTTCTTCAATACACGTTCCCTTCACATCTGGAGGGTATTTTACTGGGAGGTCAGAGGGTCAAGGTAGGAGGGTTTAATTGGAACACCTGTTGAGTGCTTTCACACTTTGTTACATTCTTAACGAAGACTGGGGATTAAGTCTGAAAATTTCTTGAATTTCACCCTCAAGGAACAACAAAGCCCAATGCTCCGGCAAACATGCAAGATGACGCAGTCTTAACCAGTAGGCTGAATGAGGTAAAGGAAGGTATTTGGGTGGGTAAGGTGAGGGGACAAAAATGGCTTTGGTCCTACACCTACAACATACTTTCTTTCCTTCTTTATTCTTTATTTAGCCAGGAAACAGCATATTACCACATTTTTCAATGGATGGGGACTGCTTACAATTACCTGTATTTGCATGTACACAAATGTAGCCAGTATAACATACCTTTGGCATAACACACCAACTTTGCAGGCATGCCATGGCAGCTGGTCATATTACACTGAACAACTTGTCAAACCTTATTTTTCCATTGCTAACTCAAGGTGCTATTAAATTAAAGCGATTACAGTAGTTACTGACAATGAGTTCCACAATACATGTAATTCTAAAAGAAACTAAAAATAATTTTTTTAACACCTCAATCCTGGGTTTATAATTCTGACACTTGTTTAAAGTCGAAGTCATTTCTTGGCTTGGATACCTACGTAGTACAATCATGTAGTATACACATGTACATGTACATTGTAGTACCAAGGATTTATGTTGTCCAGGTACATGTAGCCAATAGTCAAATCAACAGCCCAAGAAATAATTGGGAAAAGGTCACTGGAAACTAGAAGAAAATTCAAAACACATCTTTGTGATGATGTTTGGAAGAAGGCTGTAGGGAAACCTGGATGCAATTAATCTGAAGGTGAACTGAAGTAAAAAAAAAAAAAACACACTTGTAGATGTTTGTGATACATATATTTGACAACAACTACATGGAAGTTCATAACTTGGCTGCACAATAAGTGGAGGGATGATTTAGATGATTTCATCATTGGCACAGAGGGAACCAAGGAGGGATGTAGACAGTAATGCTGTTTAAACAGGATTAACTTTGGTAACAAAAATAACTTATAAATGAATTGGCCTTGGCCTAACAGAGAAGCCAGAAAAAAAACTATAATAATTGGTCCATGAATCTTTCTGGGGTTCCTCACCATTGCAAGATATGACACCCTCCTTACACTTTTCTTACAAACTACAGCTCCCTTTCACATGTACTTCAAGCATGCACATATTAAGCAGATTGAAGACTGCACACCCCACAACACCTGCCTAATAGACATTATATTTATTATACATGGTGCATACAAAGGTGTAGAGTGGAACAATGAAGATTTTTACCAGCAGGGTGCATGTCTGAGGAATGTGCATCCAGTAAGGTAAGCAGGGAAGAGAGAAGATCAGAGTGGCATGACAGAAACAGGAATTCAACAGTCATCTTTTACAGGAAATCTTCATTAGAATTAAGGTTTTCTTCAAAGGTTTCTTGAAACATTGAAATTTTGGACCCAATCCTTTTCCAACAAAAATATTTGTGATAATATTATTTTTGATAGTCATTTCACCAGGGTATAGCAAATTTCTAAATGTATTTCTGAACACAAGGACAATAGTTACAAAATGAATAGTTTACATATGAAATAATAAATGTTTATGGAGTAAATGTAGGATTTCCCTCAGATTTAATACAGGCCAAATGCTTGCAGATGACTGTTCATTCCTGGGGTTAAGTTTTACAAGTTGTGATTTGGCAATGGAGACGTGCAGGTCATCTACACACTACAAAGCACAGAAAACATTCACATGAAGCTGGACATACATGCAGAAAATAATCATTGCTGCCAATAAGACTTCTTTACTTCCAGCAACCAATATGGTCAATATGATGATTAGAGCTGTGTACCTAAACAAATTTTAGGTACAGGTACAGGTACAGGTACACAGGTTTAGGTACAGGTCCGGACCTGAACCTGTACCTGAACAATTCGACCAATTTATATGCTCTTCTGAACTCCTTCAATAACAAAAAAAACATAAATAAACTTGATAGTTAAGGTTTATTCTTTGTTTATGGCGAATGCTCAGATAAAATATAGGTGTTTTTGTTTTCATGAACACACTGTCCTTACACAGGGACCCATTGTTAACCAGCTATTTACACATTTGAGGTCACAAATAGGCATAAAATTGGTGTGAAATTGTTTAGGTACAGTACCGGTACTGAGGGATTAGGTATTTTGGACCTGTACCTAATCAATTTTTCCGGTACAGTATCGGTACTGCGTACCGGTACACAGCTCTAATGATGATGATCCAGACTAGTAATTTCACACACACACGATGTATGTCTACCTTCTACACAAGTAATAGTGCATAATATAAATGGAACAAGTTCCTTCAATAGCAACATGCAGCCCCCTTTGTTTATAACCAGTTCAACACAGGTTGGATATACATCCTTCTAACCAAAAACATATGATGGACCCCTGCTGGCTATAACCTTTCCTTGTGTGGCCACACGTGCCAACATTTGTTTGTATACAGTTTCTACTTTTAAACGTTTTGATGTTGACAAGAGTGGGGCTGCCGATAAGATGTTTGTCCTTGACATTCAACCTTTTAAGGACAACAGACAGGAGCAAGGATCCCAGGTGTACTTTCAAACTTAGACTGTACTGTATGGGTCAATGACTGGTAGATGATCATATAGCTTCATGGGATGCAAAATGATGACTGAAAAACTGTCATTCTTTCATGCACAGCATGTACCTTGCTTTAATTACAGTTGAATGGTAAGTGTGATATCAATTTTCAAGGATTGTACAAGACAAGGCGAAGAGGAACATACTTGAGAATCTGGTCAGCTACAGGCTTCCCTCTGAACTCCCTCCTTTCCTCCAGGATTGGGTCCACCTTAAAGATCTGCAGGTCTGGGCCTGGGTTAAGGACCTTCTATGAAGAGTTACTGCTATTTCCCTGTATGTAATGTGTCTTTTGCAAACACTAATTACCACTGGTTAAAAAGTAAATGGCATAAAAAAATAACTGTGGCAACAGAGCTAATCTAAAATCTAGAAACAGAACCACCTGCTACTGATTCCTTACCTACAGTTACATGTATATGTAGATAACTGTAGAAATCCCAGAAAAACTTTGCAAACTTTTCATTGGTTAGCAAAAGGTCAATATTGTGCTGTTCTTGCAAATGGTGCTAGGGGGCATGACTGTGCAGGTTGACTCATCTCTATCCTGTACATGAACACAGTGTGTATACAGTATACATTGCACAGTGCTGGCAACAAGTGAAGAACCTCTCTGTTGTAACTGTTGAATGTAAGCACTTCACAGGTGCTTCTGTTTGCTGAATTGCTGGTGGTACTCTATATGAGAACCAGTAGGGGGAAACTACATGTACTGGAGTGTATGAGTGTGTGAGAACAAAAAGGATACGTTGACTGGGAGATTCCAGTATTTCTGGGCCGGGAGCGGTGACCTTGTTGATGGGCTGTGCATGGGGGAACTGGCTGAGCAGCCGGGAGGTGAAGTCACCCAGACGCTCATACTCCTTCCCTCTGTAGATGAACACCTTGTTCTGTGGACATGATAACACAACTTACAACATAACTCTTCCTGAGGATCATCATGGGGAAGTTTTCACACCATTTCAACCTTCTCTCTTGCCTCATCTAATAGACAGAACTGCTTAACTAATGCACACACTTCAGTGTGTTCAAGGTGAATTATTCCACCCTTTCTTTTTTAAAGCCCTTTTTGAAGGGAACAGGATCCAAGTGTAGCACATAAACTTTGACTTTGTTATCATCTTTTTCAAATTATTTTGACCTGTGGAAGATGCAAGACGACACAGAGACATGTTTTGACAAAAGACTTCAATACCCTTAGATACAGTCATTTAATGAAACTGATGATTTAAAACAAGTGCTGACTGTGTAATTCGTGTTCTTACCCTGAGGAAACTGGGATATCCCTGTCCAAAGTACCCCACTCTGAAGTACTCAGGGTCTGGCCTCATGGTCTTCATGATGTTGTCATAGAACATGGCCTGCTTTTGCTGCAGGGGACAGGGGATAGAAATGTCATTGGGTGAGATAAACACACAAATGCACAGACTGGCTGACATTTGTTCCCAATGTTGGAAACAAACATACACGCATTGTTCTTTAAGAGGCTGTTATTTCAAATATCCACTGCACAACACAGACCAGGACTAGTCTGCACTGTAGTCAACAAATATGACAGATTGCTGTAGGTATGTTTATGTTGGTGTAAACTTACCTTAAAGTTTACATAATTGTCTATAAATGCCAGAATAAAAAAAGTGTCCTTTTGGTTTATTTTCAGTCTGTACAAACGAACGTCTAAGTCTGGATTGCTCGTAATGGCATTTCCTGTTTTAGCGAGAGCCAAAGTACAAAGTGTAGGATGTACACAACTGCATGTTTGGGTTCAGCAGGCCCAAGACAGAGGTTTTACTTCAAGGTAAAGGTCACAATGACATCACAAGCCAAGGGAAGAGTTGCATCTCATTATAAACCAACAAAGCTTTCTTACCAGAATGAGGCTGAGGTTGAGGAAGTCGAAAGTCTCGTTCTCGTACTGGGAAGCCAGCTCCTTACACAGTCTGATGCCCTCCTCCCACATCTACAGGACACAAAACATCACATTGAACATTTCACACCTTCATTTTGACTTCCAATTCTACCTCACTTCTTCTCAGTTTGTGGGAGACCATGTTGACCTCCAATTTAACATTCAGTTTACTACATTCAGTTACAACATTTCCCCCCTGTTCCTGTGACTAAACTGTATTTATGTAGCTATTGACACCATTTCCATCCATCTTGCATGGGGACAAGCTATTGACACACAAGCAAACAGATCAAAAACAAAACATCTGTACACAGAGGAAATAACAACACATACTTAACCATGGAAACTGGTTACTCAGTCACACCTTCTTTAACTTAAAACTATGCCAGTCCTGTAAAACCTGTATGATCTGATCTCACCTTGCCCTTGTCAAAGTACTCAATGATGTCGTAGTAGAGCATCTCCTTGAGCTGTCTGTGTGTCTGTGCCTCCGGGTACTTGTCATGAGTTGTGATGAGGGGTTCGTCTGTCCACTGCAAAAAAAACAAAACAATCATCATACTATAATCTACATATAACTTGGTACAGGTATAACTTGTACCACAGAACAGGTACAGAAACATAACCTCTGCCAGCAACCTACATGCATTTGTTGTATTTTAGTCTCTTGTGGTGACAGAAACTTGACTTGTCTTTATGACTTTTTCTTGCATTGCCACATGTACATAGTGTCAAAATCTCTGTGGGGGAAAATAGCTGTGTGCTTTTCAAGTTGATCTTGAAGCCTTTTAATTATTATGTATGGATACATGTACAGGCTTTGAAGCTCTAAATGTAAGATGTTAGTACAGTGTTGTGTAAGGGATGTCCTTACCTTGAGTAGTGTGGCATGCAGCAGGAGAGTTAGGCAGCCTCTGTGTAGTTGTCACACTCCAGATGGAGATCACACAACTTGTACAGATACCTGGTAAACAACATGTCACATCATGGATGGAATATTCTGACAGTGTAGTCTAGAACTGGCAATATTATTAATCAACTATTGGTATGGTAGGTCACTACATTCCTAATTCAAACAAGGTATTGAAGGTGTTACACCTCTACTTAGAATTTAGTGTTGTTTTATTCATTATAATTGTGATTTTTTCACTGATTCTGTGTATATTCCACTCCCACTTCCTCAAAGTGACTACAGGAAGACCAACTTGACCTCACAACCTCCAAGCCTGCTGGGAACCATTTTGACCTTAAATTCCACCTTCCTGTCAGTCTGCGGTTATATCATTTCCCCCTCACTTCCTGTGACTACTGTATTCAAATAGCTGCAGATAAACAGACAAGCAATCAAACACACAAACACACCAAAACCAAAGCATGTGTCTGACCTGATGTACATCTCCTGTCTGTTGATCTCCTTGTAGAAGTTGAGGAGGTTGACGGTGCAGCTCATCCTGTTCTCCCTGTTCTCATCGTTCATGATGGTCCTGTAGTCCAGCAGTCTCTCCAGCAGCCGGTTCACCAGGTCCACAAAGTACAGGCCCCGCTGCCGCAGGTACCGGTGCTTCTGACAGTGGTCCGAGATACTGGGGAGGAACACAGGAACTTTGGTTATCACACATCCAGGACCTTTGCTTATCAGATCTGTTTAAAAAATCAGCCTTACAGAGTAACTATGACTTATTAAGGTCCTTTCGGTATGGACAATAACAATTAACAAATACAAAGTACTTGATCACCAAACACAAAATGACAAGGCTGTGAGAGAGGAAACAACATTAAAAAATACTGACTTATTTTTCTCAATGTACAGTTTTTGTAAAATACGTGAATGTCTTAATCTATTATGTGCAACTTTGATTACCCGACAGCATGGCTGACGTCATTTTAACACACTGAAGTAGATGCTTAGTTTCTCAATAGGTTACCAGAAAGAAGGGAGAAGGTTAACTACTAGACTGAGATGAGGAGCCTACACTTCTGTACTTACATCCTGTAGAACAGCTCCTTGTACTGGTCATCACCGCGCCCTCCTTCCACCAGGTGATCCAGCTGGGTGATGATCTCATTCTCCACCTGTCCCATCAACACAAAACTATCATCAGCACCAAACATACATGCCTGGATTCTCACATGCGTTTTAATCTACACACACTCTCGTGACAAGACAAGGACATTTTTCATGCACCAAATTTATGAAAGACAGTAGCAAAATGCTTTATATTTTAGCTGTAGCTGTGGTATTGGTCAGGACAGTACAATAGTCTATCCCCACATAATCATTTATCTATTTGTTGCACAATGCCTAATTTTTCTTGTGGGCTTGAAATGCCATTGAAGCGTTAAAACAAGCCATTAGCACAGTTAAAGTACTGAGTATCCTGTTGGTTTCATTCCTCCTCCCTACCCACCTGGTTGAAGTTTCCTCTGGTTGCAAACTCACACTGCATCATGTCAAAGAAGATGGGGATGGTGTGCTCTCTCAGCTTTGTCTCTGGGATCAAAGTCATCTCCAGCATTGGGCCAACCATTTCTGGGATGAACTTGATCTTATGTTGACCTGAAGAAACATAGACAAGACCCAAATAAGTTTGACCTTCAGAAATTTAAGATTGTACACTCTACATACATTCATTCTAACATATCATGTGGCAAATTGTGTACAATTACAATGTCATGTAGTTTGTACAACTTTACAGCAAGACTTATTCATCAACCTACATATCAAATAGCTACAAGTGATTTACATGTAGTCATACGATGTTGTTTTACCAGCTTGTGGCCTGTACACAATCAGTCAGTAGAAACTTACCGAGGTTGAACCACATGGACAGGATTTCAAACCCTATCACCCTTCTCATGTCCTGGTACCTGGGAAAGGGACAGGGGAAATTACTTTTTGACACAATTTCACATAATGTTGTTTATTCAGTACAAATCAGAGAGACCACAGAATGCAAAGCTACATGTATATGCTACAGTTCCAGTTCTGAAACAAGATTTCAAACTTCTGGGAAGTATTTCCAGTGTTCATGACTTCAAATTTACCCCTATTCCAGTGTTTGACCTCTTTTATGTTTTAAGCTCAGTGTCCAGAGAAGCTTCAAATTTACCTCATTTCCAGTGTCTGACCTCTTTTATGTTTTAAGCTCAGTGTCATGAGAAGCATACCCACAGACAACCCACCCACAACAATACTTCTGACAAGACTTACTTGTTGATGATCTTCATTCTCTTGGCATGAGAGAAGTTCTCCAGCTGTAGTGACTCCTGGGTGAGGAAGGACACGGCCAGGTGGAAGAAATTGTTCCACAGCTGTGGGAGAAGGAACAGAGCAACACTGTTCACATACATGTACCCTGACAACTCTGCTGTCCTTGTGTTAGACGAGATACCCACTGTAAAGGTGTTTCATCTTTCAAGTCAATATCAACTTTGAGTTAATACCTGTTTGTTTTGCCAAAAGTACCATACTTAATCACCAATTATACATCTGACTCTGTAAAATACTACAAAAGAAGGCTAATATGCTATCTGGATGCAGCAGCTAGCTAAGTTTGTAACACATTCAAACATGCAGGATTTTGCTTTCTTCAGTCTTTCATTTTGTCCAATTTGTGCCAAAAACAGGATGTATTTTGTAAAACAAATATCTTTATCTACATAAAGGCAGGTAATTTGCAAAGCTTACAGGCATTTTAACATCATGCTCATGAAGTATCAAAATACTGGGTGCGTGTGCACCTTAGTGCACCCAAAATTGGAGCTGTTCACCCAATTGTTTACTGTTACAACATTTGCCCTCTCTCTTCCTGTGACTCAACTGTATATAGGTAGATATTGAGACCATCTCCATCCATCTTGAATGGGGACAAGCTATTAACACACAAGCAAACACATCAAAAACAGAACATCTGTACACAGAGGAAATAACAACACATACATGTACTTACAAATGTAAGCATGGAAACTGGTTACTCAGTCACACCTTCTTAACTTGAAACTATGCCAGTCCTGTGAACCCGTAGGATCTGATCTCACCTTGCCCTTGTCAAAGTACTCAATGATGTCGTAGTAGAGCATCTCCTTGAGCTGTCTGTGTGTCTGTGCCTCCGGGTACTTGTCATGAGTTGTGATGAGGGGTTCGTCTGTCCACTGCAAAAAAAAAAAACAATCATCATACTATAATCTACATAGAGGTATAACTTGTACCACAGCACAGGTACAGAAACATAACCTCTGCTAGCAACCTACATGTATTTGTTGTATTTTAGTCTCTTGTGGTGACAGAAACTTGACTTGTCTTTATGACTTTTTCTTGCATTGCCACATGTACATAGTGTCAAAATCTCTGTGGGAGAAAATAGCTGCGTGCTTTTCAAGTTGATCTTGAAGCCTTTTAATGCAACATTTATGTATGGATACATGTACAGGCTTTGAAGCTCTAAATGTAAGATGTCAGTACAGTGTTGTGTAAGGGATGTCCTTACCTTGAGTAGTGTGGCATGCAGCAGGAGAGTATAGGCAGCCTCTGTGTAGTTGTCACACTCCAGATGGAGATCACACAACTTGTACAGATACCTGGTAAACAACATGTCACAATCATGGATGGAATATTCTGACAAGTGTAGTCTAGAACTGGCAATATTATTAATCAACTATTGGTATGGTAGGTCACTACATTCCTAATTCAAACAAGGTATTGAAGGTGTTACACCTCTACTTA